AATTCACCTCAAACAATACTTGTTTGCAATACGAACTCCTTCGTCGTATTAAGAACATCACAATTACCCATTGAGGGGACTTTCATGATCAAAAGAAGAGAGCACGGTGAAAATGACAGGGCAACGTCGCAACGTGCTTAATTCAAACTCAAATTATCTCGATCGTCAACGAGATCACCAAAATGATCTCCGATAATAAAACAAACCAGAAGAGTGCATACGAAATATCAAAATTCCTCATAGTGAGGTATTATGTGATTGAAATGATAATGTACGGTGAAATCAACGAACAACTAGTGCGGCAAGCAATTTGGACCTAATTCATCTCGATAATCACTAAAAAGTTGCTCAAACAACCTCTAATCATAAAAAAAGACTGAGCAAGCATGTCCGGAAGTCCGATTTGCCTTGAGAGGACATCCATTACGTCATATTTTAGTACATCAATAGATGACACACAAATCAAGACATCTGAATTTAAAATATCTTTAAAATTGAGAGGGAAATAATTTAAATAATATAAAAATGACGGAAATTATTATATCTATGAAAACATTTTATGTCTTTCACAGCTCATGAAGAGGGTTTTTCAGCCTTACCTCAGGAAATTCATCCTGATCTTCTATGATGACATTCCAATCTTTAATTATACAGAGAATGAGCATGTGGAGCACCTGAGAACAGTCATGGAGAAGTGGAGAGAGCACTAGTTGTACGTGAAGTTGAAGAAATGTTCCTTTGCGCAGCTACAAGTGGAGTGCCTTGGGCGTGTGGTGACAAGGGCGAGGGTAACAGCAGACCCACCCAAGACTGAGGCTATGATGGACTGGCCTTTACCCAGGAGTTTGAAGGAGTTGAGGGGATTCTTAAACCTCACCAAATACTATAAAAAATTTGTGAAGGGGTACAACACGATAACATGTCCACTGATGGAGCAACCGAAGAAAAATAATTTCAAGTGGGAGGAAGCCGCAACACAGATCTTCAAACAACTGAAAAGACCATGAACAAACTACCAACATTAGTACTTTCAATTTTTAGTAGATCATTTGTGTTAGAGACATATGCATCAAGATATGAATATAGAGCAGTACTCATTCATAACCAGTAGTCAATTGCTTACTTCACCGTTAGGACGTGGCTCAAGTCAGTGTACAAGCGGGAGCTGAAGACTATTGTCTTGGCCATTCAGAAACCGTGGCCATATCTATTGAGCCAACATTTTCTTTGTCAGGACATAGTAAAGGCGCTTGAAGTATTTTTTGAAGTAGAGGATAGTGACTGAAGAGCATCAGAGGTGGCTATCCAAGTTGCTGGGATATGATTTTGAGATTGAATATTTGCTAGGTTTGAAGAATAAAGCCACATATACATTGTTGAGGAAGGTGGAAGAGCCACAACTGACAGCTTTAACAGCACCCTTGATCCATTATTGGGAAGCAACGAGGTGAGATTGCGAGCAAGATGAAGGACTGAGGAAGATAAAGGCAGAGTTACTACAAGATCCGAACACTCATTCAGGATATTCCTTGAGGGAACATCAGCTATTATACCATGGGAGGTTCACGTTATAAAGGGCATCATAGTACATCCTCATACTATTGCAGGAGTTTCACGGCAAAGCGGTTGAAGGATTTAGGGGTGCAAAAGACATACAACTTTTTGTCGACGGAGCTTTATTGGGTGGGGATGCGCAGAGGCATGGAAGACATGGTGGCATGGTGCGATGTGTGCCAATGATATAAAAACTTGGCAATGGCACCGAGCGGGTTGTTACAACTCTTAGCATTGCCAGAAAAGGTTTGGGAAGAAGTGATAATGGATTTCATAGAAGGGTTGTCGTGATTAGAAGGGTTTACAGGGATCCTGATGGTGGTGGTTTACCTGAGCAAGTATGTACATTTCATTCAATTACAACACCCCTACACTGCGATCTCGGTTGCTATGGTGTTCATGCGAGAAGTGGTCCGTTTGCATGGAGTGTCAGAATCGATTATATTCGACAAGGACAAGGTGTTCCTCAACCAGTTTTGGAAGGACCTATTCAGGTTACAAGGAACACTCCTTAAGATAAGCACATCAAAATACCCTTAGACCGTGGCTCGACGAAGGTTGTTAACAAGAGTGTGGAGAATACCTACATTGTTGTATATCAGATAGGTTGGGCCAAGTGGATTGTGTGGGATGAATACTGGTACACTATTTTGTACCATACAACAGAGCAAACTATTCCTTTCAAGATTTTGTATGGGTGGGGTCTACCCCATCTAAGACACTATGGTCATAGTGCCACACCGATATCCAGTGTTGATCAATAATTGGTCAATAGAATATTGGTAGAGCTCAAAGAGCATCCTCTGAGAGCTAAACAGATCATGAAGAGGAACACATATGGACATAGAAGAGAGGTGCAATTCAAACCGGGGACATAGTTTACTTGAAGCAGAGGCTCTACAGGTAGAAGACGCTGGCTAGGCAAAAGAGTGAGAAACTTTCACCATGATATTTCAAACCTTATTAGGTGATGACACACATTGGGATGGTAGCGTACTGTTTGAGGCTACCGCTATCATCGGCACTACATCAAGTCTTCCATGTTTTGTAGCTGAGGCATGTGATCAGAGATCATACACTCTCATCGTCACTAACTCTGATGATGACAGAGGACCTGGAGGTGATAGTAGAATCCTTAGACCTTGACGAATTGCACTAAGGAGAGGCGAGAACAAAGGAGCTACTTATTAAGTGGTAGCGTTTGGCATAGTATGAAGCAACGTGAGAACCTTATAAGGTGATCCAAAAATAGTTTTTATCAGTTCATCTTGAAAACAAGGTGCTTCTTTGGGAGGGGTGTATTATTATGCTAGTTGTTGAACCAACTCGGGCGAGATTGGTTGAGCATCAATTGACTGGCCCGCCCCATCTGTCAAAGTGTTGGACTCATTAGAAGCATGAGGCGGGGCGAGGAGCGGCGACTGCACGATCCAGCGATCTAGAAGTGGTGACCGCACTATCAAGAGAGCTAGGAGCAATGACCGATCGACTTAGCAAATAGGAGGGGTCCACAAGGGCTTTAGACATGTATGCAAAGAGGAAAAATTACACGAGTTTGGGATGAAAGTTTGAAGCGTTGTGAGAATATTATATTAAAGCTGATAACCTAGGTTTTACTTTTTCTTTATGTATGTTTTGTTAGCTGTAGTTTTTCTTTTCTTCATGTGGTATTCCTAGCAACTTCTAGCGTTGTAGTTGAGACAATCTACCTCTTGAACAATACATCATCATTGTGTCTTGTTTGTTTTCTTTTGATTTTTGCAAGAGTAGCCCTCGTTTGAGTTTTTCCACCAACCTGTTACAATTTTGTCGTTGTTTGTTCCCTGATTTTGGTTCCATATCATATCATTTTCTTGACCATGTGGCCTCCCTGATTAATTTGATAGCAAATAATTTATCTACTTATAATATTTTATTTTAAAGATTCATGGAATGATCACACTTTTTTTTTTGCTAATTGGCCTAGTTTCTAGCTGGATGTTAGAGGTCAAGTTTAGATTTAAGCAAGTTTACTAGGTTAGTCAAGTATAATACCTTTGTGGGCAACACCAATACAAAAATTGAACCAAATTAAATTATAAACAAAACCAATTCGACCAAATTATAAGTAGAACCAAACCGAAACTGCGCTGTAACATATTTCAATTTATTCAGTTTGGTTCAAGTATAATAAAATTTTGGAAAATAAAATAAAATAAAAAATCTGATTTTTGTAATGCAAAAACTAAAATCAACATAAAATATAAGCAGAAAAAGAGAAACCAAACCAATGATATATGTCATTTTTTTTTTCTAATACCAAATCAAGAACCTGAAAATAGTATCATCCTTTAAAAAATTGAACACAATCATTGAAATATAATCTATGGAAATGAACTTTTAATTTTCAAATCAGACTTCGATTTTCTTCACAGGTTAAAATGAGTTTTGTAGGTTCCTCAATCTCCACATCAACAGCGATTCTTTCCTCCTCTTGGGCCTCTGTTGGCTAGCCCAACTTCTCCTGTTTCACATAATGTCTTTTTTTTTTTTAAACCTTAATGTTTGCATCTATATACACATTATTGTATTATAATGAAAAAAAAAATCATTTGAAAACATGAAAGCAGCAAAAAAAAAGGTTCATTATTTTCTAAAAAATTAGTTATTTTAAAGGATTCCTATAAAGTATTTTATGCCTCAACGAGAGATAAAACTCTCATTTAAGATTTTAAAAGGCTTAGGCAAAGAAAGAGCTTCATTATGAGCCCTGCTTGCCCAGTTACAAACTCAAGTGCTTAAATTTATATCATGTAGGCTAAGCCATAAAGGGAGTGAAGAACTATGAAAAGAGCACAATTGCAGTATTAGTTTTTCTTAGTTTTTTTTATAAAACAATTATTTTTCAATTTATGAGATAAAATCATAGCTCAATGCCGTGTATACTCAAAGCAGATTTGAAAAATTGACTCAAAGCAATTTCAAGTGTGATCAGGTTTTATTTACTTTAAAGAACCTTAGCAACTTTCCCATTATTTAATACCTTCAGCTTTTAAAATAATAAAAAATTTATATTTTTAACAGTTACGTATAGTTCTCTTGAAATTCTTTTTGAGTTCTATAAATAACAAAAATACATTGAGTTGACTCAGATCAAGCCTGAGCCTGAGTCAGGTTGGCTTAACTAAAAAGGTTTTTAATTTTGAATCGAGCCGAATTCTAACATTTTAATTTCAAGTAAAAAAAGGTTGCTCAAACTCATCTCAATATCAATCTTAATAAAGTCATGATATGTCAAATATACCAAATATAGTCTATATAATGCACACTTTATTTATTTATTTTTTCTTTAATTTGACATAAAATTTTAAAAATTAGCAATAATTATTTTCTTTATATATATTAGAAATTTCACTAATCTATGAGGAAGATTACTTGCATTTAACTAGAGCAGCAGAAATAGGAACCTGCGTCTCCTTGGATGGAATTCTGGTCTCTGTTGTATTATAGCTGCACTTTTGGTATCTCTCGATTGTCTTCATCATGCTGCAAGAAAAAATAAGGATAGATTTATTAAATTCTATAATTGAATGTTAACTGATTTGTGGAATATAATTAAGTTTGAGTGAGTAAAATTTGCATCGTATATTTATTTTTGGGTAAGTGAATATTTATCTCTTGATATGACCACAAATAAATAACTAACTAACTAACTATATATATATATATATATATTCCTTGAAGTGCAGCTTATTCATATTAGTTGATCGGGCATTTGCTTGTCCGTTGTAATTCCTCGCTTCGTCTCGCGCTCGCGTCGTCTTGCGTTTGCGTTCGTGTCTCGTCTGGCAGTAGTGTTGCGGTCGTGCCTGCGTCTCGTCTGCGACAGAGCCGCTCGACAGTTTTTGTCTGCGTCTCGTCTGCTACAGAGCCGCTTGAACGCTCGACACTTTTCTGCTTCTGCTGCGTCTCATTAGTGACAAAGCCGCCCGGTCAGCTTCTGCTGCATCTCCTCTGCGACAGAGCCGCTCGACAGTTTCTGCCTGTGTCTCGTCTGCTACAGAGCCGCTCGACGCCTGCTTCTGCTGCATCTCGTCTGCTACAGAGCCGCTTGACCGCTCGACACTTTCCTGCTTCTGTTGCGTCTCCTCTGTGACAGAGCCACCCAGTCTGCTTCTGTTGCGTCTCCTCTGCGACAGAGCCGCCTGGTATGCGACAAAGCCCTTTGACACTCGTCTTCTCATTGTGCTGCAGGTTGAGATTGGTTGTGGTAATGGCCTTAGGGCTTTCCTACGTCGTCGCCCTCGCCGGTGATAACACCTCCAAACCCTTCTATGCTACAACGGTTCACAAACGCAGCTCCCCTTTTCACCTCGTAGATAATGTCGTATTCCTGCAGATTTACCATGATTTGTTTGCAAGAAATGAAGATTGCAATCTCATAAATTAAGTAGAGAAAAATGTGGGCAAACCAGCAATTTTCTTTTCTGAAGCTGAAATTTCAACTTGTGTAGGAAAATACAAATTTACATTAATTGGAAAGTTCCAATTAGGTTGCCCTAAAATGAAGATCATGAGAAAGGTTTTTGAAGATTTCAAACTGGTTAGGGATTTACAGGTGGGTCATTTCGATGGAAGGCATGTTATGATACAACTGAACACAGAAGATGATTACACGAGGATTTTCTCAAAGAAATTCATCACAATTAAGGGCAAACATTTAAAATTGCTCAAATGGACCCCCAATTTTGATCCCAATCAAGAACCCCCAATTGCACCTATCTGGTTCTCATTACCTGAACTCAAGCTTCATTTCTTTGACCTACCTATCTTATATGCAATTGAGACTATCCTTGGAAAACCTTTGCAAGTAGACTTACCTATAGTTCATTTCTTAAGGCCCTCTATTGCAAGGATTTTTATTGAACAAGATATCACACTACTAGATGTAGAAGAAGTCTGGCTTGGATCTGCTCGCAATGGTTATTGGCAAAAAATTATTATGAAAAAAAAACCTTACTACTACAAGCACCGCAAGATGTTTGGACACCCGCAGGAGAAATATTTCAGATTGCACCCACAGTTGAGAACCAATAGTCAAAAGCAGGAACACACTATTAGTGCACCCCATGTGTCTGACCGCGCTCCCAGCAAACCTGATGACATCCAACCTGATGAGGGAATCACCACAAGACAGGAGTTGGTGTCTGCTCCTGGGTCCCTTTTCCTGACCATACTATAACGGATAATATTCGAACTGAAAATTAGGATAGTCCCGCAGCTCCTATTCAAGAAGTATCAAATGCAGAGGTAACAATTCACACTTCACATACACTAAGAACCTATCGCGGTGACGCCTATCTTTCCTTCTACTGCGATGCTAACATCAAATCAGATCGAGGATCACATGAGTCAGTCTGCCGATGAAAAATGACAGGTTTACACTTCTCGGCGGAAGAAGAAGGTTGGGGGCTCACTCCAACTTGGAAACTTAATGGATGATACATTGGTGACTCTTGACAATGACCCGAATCTTCAAAGTTTGTTATCTGTTTCCGCTCCTAAAACTAGAGGAAGTGACAAGACTAAATTGTTTCGTCTCTAGCTATTTGTTTTCTGCTTATTTTAGATTTGTTTTACATTTTATTGAGTCTATCTGTATCTTCTTTTTTTTTGTTATTGTACTTTTATCATATGGTAGGGTGTCTCCTTTGGACTCTTCTCATACTACCTTTATGTATCCTTTTCTATTTCAATAAAATCAGCCCTTGGGCTTTTCATATATATATATATATATATCACCAAATTATATTAATTATTATAATTTGGTGAAATATTTTTGAGTTTAGGCAGGCTAGTATGAGCTAATTAGAGCCTGAAATCTTCTTTATAGACACGTGTAGGGAGTTGTACATCGTGTAGGGAGCTGTACATCTATCATTGACAAACAAAATTTCTCCAACATTTTATCTTAGAGGAAAACAACTTGCCTGATTAATCCTGCATAGACATATTGTTGACCTCATTTTTGGTGAGGTCTAGTCTTCCTCTTAGGGTTTAGGATCTAACCTTAGAGATCTCCCTTTGACTATCTTAGAACCTTAGAAATGAGACTCGTCCGTTTTAGAAATTCAACATACTTCTGTACTCTTTTAGAAATTCAACACACTTCTAGCACTTAGAAGGGTAAAACCAACATGAGGAAACCCAAAAGGAATTCCTATAGGACCTTTTGAGCCTTAGGGTGACCTTCTGCACAATTCACACTTCCGCGCACACAAATTTCGCAATTCGGAGAATCAACGCATTTGATTGCTACAATCCACATCGTCTGCACCGTTACCTGTCGAAGACTCGAATAAACTTGTTGAGACGATCGATCATGGGTCGAAATTTTGTGAAATTTGAATTTTGACGCTTTTTTTACCTGATTGTCGACGACGTCGCCCGAGCAACCCCAGATGACAAAACAGACTGCTCCGGTGCGTCCGGAACGTCGATTTTGCCTAGGAAGGATACCCATTTTGTTACGACGTCGTGCGCGAGTAAATCGCATATGAATTAGTATATATATACCTTTCTCTCCCGTTCGCGTGCTTGGCCTTTCCCTTTCTCGTTCTCGAACCAACCGAGCTCCTCCTCCACGCGAGAGAAAGTTGACTTCTCATTCGTCCTTGCCCGACACTTTCAGCCCGCGGCCCTCCTTCCTGAAGTCGTGCCAGTCTCCCTGAGCTGTGGTTTTACTTTTCTTGGTAGTCTGACTCTGGGAAGCTTGCTCCCTGGTACACTTGCATGGCAAACTCTCTCTTCTTCCCGATATTTTCCTCGCTGCCACAGGCTCGCCACTTGGTCCTGGATGTTTCGGTTGCTTCGCCTTTTGTGAGCAGGGAATGCGGTTTTTTTCTTTTTGGCCCGATTCGAGTACCGTGGGTGGTGGGGCGATCTTCTTTCTCTTCCCCTCTCTTCTTTGCCTATAAACATAATTTCTTTTGGGGTTTTTGGGGTTGTTGGAAAAAGTTTGCAAAAAGAGGAGAGGAGTAGAAATTTTGGTTGTGAGGAGATTAGGAAGGAGATTTCTGTGAGAGCATCTCCTTGAAGTGGTTTCTTGTGTTGCAGTGCTTTACATTGGCATTAAGGAGGTACCTCTTCTTCCCCCCTTTTTTTCCGGTGCCTTGCTTCTTTTCGGTTTTCTCTCTGCCGAGCATTTGTGCATGGCTTTGTTGGATGGTACAACATGCTAGTTTACTTTACTTTCATATATTTTTGAGATATTCACTTTAAGAGCATGTGAAGAATAGAAATGTGAGCATGTTTCAGGAGTTTGATTTGATTACTTGCTTAGAATGGTGGAAATATAGCATGACATAAGTTACTCCTCTTGCAAGCATGTTGGGATGTGTATTGTGAAACTTTTCATTTATCTTTCGTTTAGCATGAGATATTGAAGAATTTATTTGGTCTTTCATGCATGTTAGGGGGTTTCGGCTTTGGCATCTTAAAACTTGCTTTTGCTTAAAATGAATGTTAGAGAGTTCACTTTACTTTTTATACATATATGAGGGCTCGGTTAAGCTCCTGCGGCTTTCCCTTACTTGAAATGTATGCTATTATTTAATTTGGAAAGCTCTATAGCTTGTTTTGAGGGCTTGGTTTAGCCCCTCATGAGGCATCTCCCCTGTTCAAATATCTGTTGGAATTGTTTCATGCTTGGAATATTTAGACATGCAGGTTATTTCTTGGTTTGGAGGCTCGGTTTTGGCTTGGTTTGGAGGCTCGGTTTTGGCTTGAAATGGCTAGAACTCTATTTTTTATGGAAGCCTGAATTTTAATACTGTTGGGTGTGGTTTTGGTGCTTCTTAAGTTCAGTTTTGGCCCCTGCTGGGCTCGGTTTTGGCATCCCACGGGTGTCTTAGCTTAAATATACAAGTGATGAATGAATTTATGTTTATTTGGAAGAATTATATAGTTGTTCTAGTGTAAAACATGCGCTAGTTCTATATTTTGATGTTTTAAGGATATGGAAATGTTTTCTATTCTTTGGTTGTAACCCGAATTCAAACCTTAGCTGTGGCTCGGTCCTGGCTTGACTTGGGAGCTCGGTTTGCTTGTTTTAGCTCTTACTCGAGAGCCCGTGATTGAGTCCTTAAAACTTGTCTTTACTCGAGAGTTTTGATAGCTTATTTTGCTTGTCTTTGGCCCCTACCCGAGAGATGGTTTTGTTGGTTTTAATTTTTACCCGAGAAATGGCTTAGTTCTTTTTTATTTTTGTTGGTCTCGGCTCTTACCCGAGAGTCTGGTTTTGGTGTGTTGGGGTCTCCATTTGAAGGCTGTTATTTGGTTTTGATTGATTGATTTGGCAGGTTATGAGGCCGCAATTTGATGTTTTCTTGGTGCCTAGCCGTGGGTTTGTGATGTGGTTGAACCAGCCTCCCCTTTTGGTCCTTACCCGTGAGGCCTATTGGAGGTCATTGGGTGTTATTTGGTCCTTCTTGCTAGGCTTGATTGGCTCGAATGTTGTGGATGAATCAAGTTTGTCATCCCAAAAA